CTACTTTAAGATCTCTTGGAACTGCAGCCAAAGAGGTCCATGCTTGCTTAGCTGGCTCTAGCGAGTGTGAATTAGCTTAAACCCCTAGGTATCACTTTCTACCCCATTCCCATTGCAACAGACAAGACTTCTGGAACAGGCGAGTATAAACCAATTTACCTCCCTCCCTCCTAAGTAACTGAACTATTTTCTATTTCTGTAACTCTAAAGGAACTTGAACGTATGCTATTGTGAGACTGATTATTTTGTATGTGTGACTTTGATATCCTTCAGTAAAAAGATTATTTGTTTTGGAAAAACACCCGTGTGGTCTCCATTACTGGAACTCTGGGTTCAGACACGACCTTGGTATAGCTGGCCAGGACTCATGTTAAATTTAGTTAGCCTCTGCTGTAAATAAAGCAGTTGGCGTAACAATAGATAGATAGATAGATGGATGGATGGATGGATGGATGGATGGATGGATGGATAGATGATGGATGGATGGATAGATAGATGATAGATAGATAGGAAGGAAGGATAGATAGGATAGATAGATGATAGATAGATAGCTTGGCCCCAACATAACGCTGAGCTGTATCAACAGGCTGACACTTTTGAAGATAACAGGATTGCTTCTGAGGAAGCTTGGGACGAAATGAGCCTCTATCTGGGTGCTCACTGAGATGGATGGACCTTTCCTCGTAATATTATAAAGAATTATTTATCTGTAATATAATACAATGTTTAACATGCAAAGATTGACTAAATGTCTTAGCCATCCCATCACAGTGGTATAACAACCAGCATCAGGTATTGTAGGCCAGCTCAGGAAACATCACTCACCGTTCTACCTTCGCCTCTCTCACCCCACTAACTGCTCTGAACTTACTCAGGTAAACAAGATTAATCGGCTATCCTCCTCCTGTGTGTGGGAATCACATACCTCTGAGGCACTGCTGTTCGGCTTCTTAAAGCTATAAAGTTCTTGTAAGAGCTTGTACTCTTCCTATTTTAAATGAAGGGAAAAAAAATACAGAACGTCAATGATCTCTTCAACGTAAAGCCTTCCTTTGGACTGATTGACACACCATTTTTATTCAACACAGAATTTAAGATGCTTTCCCAAAAGTAACAAGAATGCCTAGGTATGAAGAAAGACTCCCACGTTTCCATCACACCACAGAATCCTAATCAATTTCACTGGATGCAAACTATTTTTTACAAACGGGATCGTATTTTTGTTTCAACATCTGGAAATTTTTATTCCCTCAGTAAGTTTCATTTCTGTTACAGTGTTTACTGTATTATTTGTTTTAAAGTTTATAATCCACCTTGAATATAAAGAAGGCAGCATATAAACATAGTAGCTAACTGAAACAATAAAATCTGCCGTGCAGTCAGAAAGGCTACCATCTGATCAAAGAAATCTAAATTGATCAACCGTACACATTTAAAACAGCAAATCTGCACCAATTTGTTTGCAAATTGAGAAAAGGGCATTTTTCTTTATTTACTGATGAACCAGCTGAAGCATCAGGTTATATCTTATCAAGAAGAAATGTCTCTCATAAGTGGGCATTAGGCACCCATTGCTTTTCTAGACGCCCGTATTGAAAACAAAATGGGGAATTTCACATTACCCAGTTTCACCTGATTTCAAGCCGGTAATGATCCGTTCTGAAGTGAACCGGTATAGGGCTGCCATTTCACACATGGCTTTCCCCTTCCGGTAAAGAGCTGGATCTGAAGCGGTTTGCCATTTCAGACTGCACCGCTTTTTCCTGCTTTCCCTCCGCTGTTTTTCGCTCATGCGGGCGATCGCCGGCTTTTTTTTTAACGTTTGCTTTAGAGCGTCATAGTGCTATAGCAGTATATAAAAAAACACTCCATGCATTCCAATGGGATTGATATAATGCTATTCCGTTATAGCGCTATAACGCTATAAAGCAAACGTAAAAAAAAAAAGCCGGCGATCGCCCGCATGAGCGAAAAACAGTGGAGGGGAAGCAGGAAAAAGCGGTGCAGTCTGAAATGGAAAAAGGCAGGAGGAAACTGAGGAGTACTTGGAAGCGGTTGACAGGTAAAACGCTTCAGCCCCGTTTCCTAAACGGGACAGAAGCGATTGTGTATGAAATGACAAATATATTCCGGAAGGGAACCGGTTCTCAAACGGTTCCGTCTGAAATGACAGACCAGAAACCGTTTGGGAACCGTTCCTCTTCCGGAATATATCGCCCGTCTGAAATTCCTCAATTTTTAAAGTGTTTTGCCCGATTAACTGGGACTCACTTTTTTAACCAACTGAAAAGTTTCAAAAACGATTCCTCAAAACTGATTAATGCCGCGACCCGGAGAGCCCACATTAGCCCGATCTCGGAAGCTAAGCAGGGTCAGCCTGATTAAGGGCCTGGACGGGAGACCTCCAAGGAAATCCAGGGTTGCTACGCAGAGGCAGGCAACGGCGAGCCGCTCCTGAACGTCCCTTGCCTTGAAAACCCCACAGGGTTGCCCTGAGTCGACTGCCCTTTGACGGCAAAAAGAAAAAATAAAATAAAAGATCAACTGGCAACAGGACATCCGCGCAAGTTACCTGAGTGTATATTTCCTTGAAAGGATTCTTAACTGAAAAAAAATCCAAGTCAATGTCTAAAACATAAGCCGCGTCCTTCGGCAACACCTGGAGGATGTCTTTGATAAGTTCCGTGGTTTGACAGGAGTGGTCGCCAAAGGAGCAGGAGGCCGAGGCACTTGGGGAGTCCTCCGCCCTCTCTGGCGTTTGGGGGCTCGGGCCTAGTGCTTCGGGCTGCGCGTCTGAAGAGCCACGGGGAGGGACCTCCACGCCCCTTGACGAAGAGGCAACTGCAGCGC